CTCCCACTGTCCAGCAGACACCGCTGATGGACTCCCACTGTCCAGCAGACACCGCTGATGGACTCCTCACCACCAAGGTTAAGGAAAATGCACTGACCAGAGGACAGCCACATTTTCTACACAGCACCAACTGTTTCACAAACCAGAGATTTCCTGGATTATGAATGTCATAAAGATTAACATAACTTAAAAAATTACAACCTGACTTTTAAGCAGCACCGTTTACTCAGCACTTCCTGGACAGGAGGCTCTACTGACACAGAGGTTACTCACATCACCTCGCCCCCAGTCCACCATGAGTAAACGGCCTTCAAACTCCTCCCTAGCCTGCTGCACCACCCCAGGCTCCCATCTCGTGTCCCCTCTGCCTACACAACCTCATGCTCGAACTGCACTTGAGCTCTGAGAACACCTGACGCTTCTGCCACTGGCCCCAAACTTTCCCAGGATTAGGACGACGTGTCAGGTTGCCCACCTGAGCACCTGGCACAGCCTCCGGCTCCTCCTCCCCAACAAGAGGCCCCATGCAAGTACGGCCTTGGCACTGCTGACCTCAGGCCAAGCCTGTTGTCCTGGGCACTGCAGGAGGCTAAGCAGTGTCTACCACCATCACTCTTCCCCTGCCCCCCCCCACCCTGGCTAGCTGCTTCCACTCTGCTCTCTGTCCTCCAAACACGTCCAGCTGGTATTTAAGGCACCCGAGTCAGCCTCACTCCACAGGGGTGGGCCTGAGGAACAAGCCTGCATGTCCCTAAACACAGACCAGGGCAGAGAATCTGCTTCCTCAGCCCACATCTCTGCTCTCCATGCCCTGACCAGGGCCCCACGCTTGGTCACCCTCTTGTATGGTTCCTCATCGGGCTCTTTCTCCTAAAAGTGCAGCCTAATGAGGGCAGTTCTCTTTCAACCCCTCCCAGGTCCCTTCCCCAGCACATGAACCTGTGGATGTGTCAACAGAAGAAAGCCAGGACCCAACCCCAGCTCATCACACAGATAGTGCCAAGACAAAGCTTATGGAAGGAGGCAGCGAGGCACCCCGAGTCAGAAGAGCAGCAGCAGCTAGTTGGGGGACACCAGGCATCCGGGCCCAGCCCAGGTCTTGCCGCTAAGCCCCTGGCCTACTCCAGCTCAGGAGGGACTCTGGAGTATACTGCCCTGGAGTCAGGGATCTGAGTAGCTGAGGGGAGAGCTCCACGCACGATGCTTGCTGCCACAGCATCAGAGATGAAGTTGAGGAGAAGGAATGCGCTGACATGGTCCAGAAGCTGACCTGTCCTCTTGCCAAGCCCTCCCCAGAGCCTAGATGAGGTGCAGTGTCACACTCGTTGCACTGGGCCACTCTGCCACCTCCCTAAAGAGTGGTGCTGGCTGGAACACCTCTCCCACAAGCCTCTTGTGGACATAGATCCCCCAGGTCCCCGATGGGTACAGTGAAGAGGAGGGGAACAACCTGCCATAGGTCCCTCTTCCCAGTGGGCTGACACCGTCCTGAGGTTGTAGGGAGTGAAGTGATGGGAAGAACAGGCCAGGCTCAGGGGGGAGAGGAGCAGCAAACAGAGCCCTGAGGACAGACCCTGCGACAGCTTCACGGCCAGCTCACCGCCCCAGCCAGCATCCTCCCTCAGTGCCAGGTGGCCCGAAGCACCTGTCCATAGCACCCTCCTCCTAGCAGTTACCCTGGGGAAGGCTCAGACACTGGCAGACACACGGCAGGGCAGAAATCTTTCCAGTCATGTCTTCTAGAAACAACTGTAGTCCCTCTGAAGCTGCCACATGCCCACTAGCAGTGTGAGGTCCTTACCCTGAATGGCAGTGTGGGCCACTTAAGAGTGGGCCACATGCCTCCTTGGCCTCAGACACGGTGACAAGTAAACACATATGTCTCACAGGAAAGAGTCCCAGCAAGAGAACAGTGTGGTAGATACCACGGATATGGAAAACCAGTCAGCACCAGTGGGCACAGAGCACCTTGGGAAAGCAGCCAGCGAGCCCGGGGTTCAGGCCCAGACATCACTGCCAACACGCAGGCACCGCTGCTGCTCACCTGCACACACAGCAGCTGTACTCTCTCACTGCCCCACAGTGTGGACCCTACATCCGTCTCAAGTCTGAGGACAGCCACCAACCCGCTCCCCGGCCCACTGTGGGCACAGACAAGAAGGCGCCTCCCCACTCAGCACTCACTCTTCCGCAGCGCGAACTCCTCGTCTGAAGGCTTCCGCTCAGGCTTGCGCTTAGGAAGCAGCTTCTTCATGGTCTTAGGACTCTTACTAAGGTCCTAGGGAAAGAGAGAAGAAATGCTGCTGCAATGCAAAGACAGTGTGTCCACTGCGTATCAAGAAGGGCCGCGGCGAAGCTGTGAGATGTGAGATCCCCGTGAGCACTGCGGGGCCCCAGTCCTCTCACACTCTGACTTCTGTCAGCTGCTGAACATTCATTTAAAATCAACAGGGCATTTTCGGTGTCACTCACTGGCTGACGTACCTGGATCCCATGACAACAGGTGTGCTGCCAGCAGGCAGGCCGTGCTGCAGGGGACACGAGGGGCTGGTGGCCGACCTGCACACATGGGGATGACGAGCTCCTGCACTCTGCAGCAGACCCACTGTCTACAGCTAACTAGAAAGGCAGGAGGAAGCTAAGGCTACTTTTTAAAAGAAACAAGTAAAAAGACCAAGTCTTTTCTTTGGATTTTTTTTTGAGACAATCTCACTTTGTCACCCTTGGTACAGTGCCGTGGCTCATAGCTCACAGCAACCTCAAACTCTTAGACTCAAGTGATCCTCTTGATTCTCAGTCTCCTGAATAGCTGGGACTACAGGTGCCCACCACAACACCTGGCTATTTCTTTTATTTAGAGACAAAGTCTCATTCCGGCTCAGGCTGGTCTTGAACCTGTGAGCTCAGATAATCTGCCCACCTTGGCCTCCCAGAGTGTTAGGATTATAGGCACCACACCCAGCCAACAAGTCTTAACTTTAAGAAAAGATCCGAAATCTCAAGAGAGAAGAGAATGTGAGTGATGCTCCCAAGTAGGAGAGCAGAGGACAGACACAGCAACGGGCCTGGCACTGGCTGTCCCTGGTACACAGCCACACCAGTGTAGAGCCATCCATGTGACAAGTCCCTCACCTCCGGAGCACATATTCTTTCAAAGTGCAGAAGTCAAAAGGAAACTAAGTGAGCAAGATAAAACTCAGCAGGGCAGCTGAGGTTCCTACTGTATCGAAACAGCCAACTCCATAACACTTCCCTAACATAAACCACCCCTGAACCTTATGGTGAGAAATCAGGGCTCAGAAGAGCTGTGCTCCGCAGGAGTCAGGTCTGCAGTGTAGTCAGGCCAGGCATTTCTGGAGGCCTGCTGGAACTCCGAGCAGCCTCAGAGAGAGGACGCTGGCACCGGCATCTCAGGGCTAGTGTTCTGGTCAGTGTCTGAACAGAGTCCAGGGTTCTACCCTTCCAGGGGCCACAGACAGCCCGATTGGCACTGTGTAGCTGAGAGTGGAATGCTTAGCAACTGTTACCATCACCTGATCCTGCCCAGGCACAGATGGGAATCGCAGAAGTGAGCTAGGAAAGTTCAGTCTGTAAGGTGTGTGTTGTACTCACAGGATGGGCCTGCATAATTCTGCTTTTCTTTCCCTTCTTCTGATTGTTTATGATTACCTGGGGCACTTTGCTTTGAATAACTAAAATTAACTTTATGCTTTATGTTGTCAATGTGATTATCAATGTAATTGATGATTTTTGACTCAATTAAAAAGACCTTTGGGAAAAAGGGCCACTGCTGCTGTGGCTAGATGCCACTAGCCATAGCGTACACCTTTCACGGGCTCCCATTGGTTATGTCACTTGAGATAAATGAGTCTGAGTTTCGATGCCCTCATACACATCTCCACCAAGGTTGTGGGGACCCAGGCCCCCACAGTGCTTGGGAATAAGCCACCACCCTAAGCACAGAGAGGGCAATGCTTGATTTAAATTTATCTTTTAAAATTTTTTTCTGTAAAAATAACAAATTAAGCAGCTCTTAGAAGTCCAGCAGAAATCAGTTCAAGAGAAACACATGCCTGCCCTACAGCTTCCCTAACTCAAGGCAAAGAGACAAGGACTCGGGACAAGCCAGCCCACCCTGCTCAGGCACACCTGCGTCCACACAGCTCCTGGCCAGCACACTCCCTTGAGGGGCCATGCCGGCATGGGGGCTGCAGAGGCCCTCAGAGCCTTCTTTCCTGTCACCTACTCTGTAAGGTGACTTTCTATTACTGCCTGGAGACACTCAGCAATACTGGATAATCAGGACGAGTCCAGCAAAGCCACTGCAGCCAGAGTCAGCAAAATCAGACTGTGCTGACCTCAAGGCCTCTCCTCACAGCTCTACCCAGTCTTTTCCTTGGTAAATCCACCTCAGCCTGCCCCTGCCTGCAGTATCTAGCTTTTCTTCACACTGCACACACTGCCCTACACATCAAAGAATATCCACACTCTTCAATAACTTCCCGTAATCAAAAAAAAAAAAAAAAAATCTGACTTGAGCACATGACCAAGCAAAGTGTCTACAATAAAATGAAATTCAGCAAGAACAAAAAAATGGGAAGTACTGGTTATAATTTCCTACAGAGCACCTTCCCATGGGGTTAAATCCTTGGGGCTGCGTGCAGAAACCTTGAGGGGTGGCCCAGCTCACAGACAAGTGCAGCCCTTGACTGCACCTGGAAGGCCCACACCATCTCACTCACAAGTGTGCTGACACACCTGTTCACATGCACAACTTCACGCACACCTATAACACCCTTGCACGCTCCAGCTCACACCCAAACACGTTCATCTCATGCTGACTCACGCTCACACACATGCTGCCACTCACGTTCAACTTGTTCCTGTGTACAGGCTCATAACCATACCCGTCCTCATACACCCCTGCTCCTACCATCCTCACACTCATAACTGCATTCACTCTCACTCATAACCACAACCACACTCACTGTCACAGTCACACTCACAACCACTCATCCTCATGAAAACTATACTCAATTACCAGCTCCTTCAAGTGAAAATACTTCTTGGAATATAATTCTCATCAAGTCAGTTTAGATGAAGGTGTGTGTGAAACTGTGAACACTTATTTGTGGGTAGGAATATGATTTTAACTATCCTAATGAACAGAGAAATACTGGATCAGAACGGAGAGAAATGCAGACCACATCGTATTTTTCCACATGTCAAGGACAGGAGCTGCCTTAGATAATTTTTCATTTTTGTTTGTAAATGTTCTCTTCATCTCAAATGGCTTTTGGGGATAAAATGTAGGGTTCTTAGGATCCCAAACAAAAAGAAAGCATCTTAAGGTGCACGAGAACAGTACGCAGAAAGAAGGTGACACCCTCACAAACTAGAAGTTATACAGCCACGTTGGCTCAGCCTCCTCCCAGCTCCAGGCCCCAGCAGCATTCCTCAGGTCAACACAGTAAAGGTCCATGCCAAGCACACACAGGCTGGGACACTGCACACGCCTGTCCAGCAGAGAGAATGACAGGCAAAGGCAGGCAGCTCCTTCACAGCTATGAAGCAGCGAGTCCCTGCCTGGTTCTGTGCAAAAGGACCAGCCTAACACACCACACATGCCAATGAGGCACGCTCACTGTTGTGTGGCTACTTGAAGGGCTAAAGAACCTCACCTCCTTGTAGCAGAGAGCAGCTGAGGGCCGGAGGGGAGGTGCAGGTCGCAGGCAGCTCAGGCTCCAAGGCTTGGGAGTTTTCGGAGGCTCCAGAGGACCCCAACTGATGGTGGTGTGGGGGGTGCCGTGGTGGGAGGGGTGGGGAAGCGTGTGGTAGGCAGGCGTCAGTGGTGCAGGCTTGCTGTCCGCATGCTTGCTGGACGGAGTGACCGAGTGGGAGGGAAGCTGGAAGAGCAGAGACAGAACGTGAGAGTCTGCACGCTCACTGCAAAAGGGGCACTCTCACAGACACTTCACCCCGTTCTTAAAAACATGCCAAGTGAAATAAGTCCCAGTTGTCACTTCTACTGAATCCCTGACCTTCAGCAGTCAAGTTTCTGGACCACAAGCCTCCAGGCAGAGCATGGAACTCACCAGTGTCTGCTCCAGCCCCGTGGCACAGCTCTCCACTACGGCTGACAAGCAGACGCTCCACCGGCCACATTTATGTGTACAGAATAACACTTGAGGACACATGTTTCCGTAGCGTATAAAAATTTTATAAGAGAACAGGCATTGCCTGTGTGGGGAACATGGCTACAAGGGATGGAAATCTTTCCAGCCAGGTGCTGTTCAACACTGGGTCAAAATTGGGGCCTGACTCCTAGGTCTGCAGGTCTGTTTTTAAAAAAAAAAAAAAAAAAAAAAAAAAAAAAGTTTTCCTGGCACATGAGCAGGTCTGCTCCTCAGCTGCTTCCCTGTTAGAAGGCAAAGAAGGGACAGCTGCGACAGGGACTTGCAGAGCCGGAACCGTTCACAGAGAGCCACTGGTCCCTGGAGGAATGCAAGCTCCTGGGGGTCGTGTTCACCCAACGTGGGGTGAGCAAACGGCTCGTATCCTGCCAGCATCTGCCACAAAATAATCTCTTCCAACTAAGTAACTTCCAGATGTATAAAATTATGTAAAGCCCTCTGCTAGCAATAATGTTATAGTAAGTAATGTTTGAGTTCATTTTTCCATACTTGAAAAAGTCAAAAGAGGTATATTCTCTGCTAAAAATGGAATGCAGTTTAAGCTGCACACAGCTGGATCCTGGAGAATGGATCCCATGAGAGAAACTCCCCACAATGCGAAGCATTTCAACAGGAGGTGGTGTACTGCCTTCCCCACTGAAGGACACCTTCAGAACAGGACCACAAATGCTGAGATGCAGGGCCCAGCCACAGAGAAAGTTCCCCTGATTGAAAGTGACATTTTAACAAGGCTGACTTTCAGGGTGTAATCGCCTGGCTCTTTACAACACCCACATGCACATGCACGCCTACGTCATGGGATATACTGGTTCCTTGAAAGCTAAGTGTCTTCGTGTTTGTAGAAGAATAGAGAAGTTACAAACGGCCCAGTCACTCAAAATATAATGTTACCGGCTCGGCACCTGTGGCTCAAGTGGCTAAGGCGCCAGCCACATACACCTAAGGTGGCAGGTTTGAATCCAGCCCGGGCCCGCCAAACAACAATAATGGCTGCAACCAAAAAATAGCCAGGCGTTGTGGCGGGCGCCTGTGGTCCCAGCTACTTGGGAGGCTGAGACAGGAGACTCGCTTGAGCCCAGGAGTTGGAGGTTGCTGTGAGCAGTGAAGCCACAGCACTCTACCCAGGGGGACAGCTTGAGGCTGTCTCAAAAAAAAAAAAAAGAAAAAAAAAAAATATATATATATAATATGTTACCACAAGCAAATGAGTGGTTTGAACCTCCAAACTTTTGCAAGAACAGAGTGAAACCACGCAACCCTGATCAGAATACCACTACAGCAACCCTCCTTAAGGTGAAACTTTATCACGAAGCATAACCCAGTGAAAAACGAGGTACACGGCAGAAACAAGCCTAATAACCCCACCAAGAGGGATGAGGAAAACCTACAGACTAAAAACGAACACAAAACTGTAATGCTTTTTTTAAAAGGTCTGCCCAATTTGTCAACGCTACTTGATAAAGATAACATTGAAATACTACACGTGCCAATTTCTTAAGCACAGAACGCCAGTACAGAGGGTCTAAACATGTCATAAAGGTCACTAAAACTCTAAAGAGCAGTTGACTTATTCTAAATAAAAGATGAACACGTGTCTTAAAATCAAAATAATGAGTAAAAGTTGTAATGCCATCAACATGAACTTGCCCCTTATCATCATGATGATTTATCTGTTGCTTTCTTAAATGAAACATAATAAATAGTTAAAATTCTCAGAAAAGTTATCTAGGAGTAGTGGCTCTGGAGAGTTTGGCATAACCTGCCCCCCTAGACGACTTTTTAAAAGTTCTAAATGACTTTTCTGAGAATTTTAACTGTATTTATTATGTTTCATTTAAGAAAGCAACAGATAAATCATCATGATGATAAGGGGCAAGTTATGCGTCCAGGGCCACCGTGAGAGCAGAGGCAGCTTCCGGCCCAGTGTCCCTGGGTTCCACATGAGGTCACATAATTCAGGGCTGTTTCAAAGGAATGATCATCACATGAATCAGTTCACTATGAAGATGGAGAAGACTAAGTATTTGCAGAGACACAACAAGCAAGTATTTCACGTTTTTGACCCAAATATCGATAAAGCTTTAAAGCACCAATCTCTTGTGGACCACTCCACCCCATACCACTGTTCAGTCTGGAAGGAGGCAGTGCGAGGGCCTTACGGTGTGGGAGGGCACGGAGTGCGGCTTCACAGTGGGGTTCCCTGCAGACGTGACCTTGGTCTGCTTCTGCAGGTGGTCCACCCACTCGTGCAGGTCCTGCTGGTTGCCGCAGGACACCAAGATCCGCTCGATCATGCTCCCTAAAGGGTAGGAACAAAACCGCTGGGTGGGACACAGGCAGGGGCAGCTCGTGGACACACACAGCGGGTGGCTCAGCAGTGCCTGGACACGGCCTTCTCAACACACTGCGAGCACCGACGCCAGGCCACTCTCCCCGGGACAGCACTCACACGGTTCCGCCCATCACCTGATATTTCGAATGCATTTCTGTGACTTTCATTGTCCTCGAGCTTCGTGATTGTCATTCCTGTTGTTGGTAGCTTCCCCTAAAAACGAGTCCCCCCAAAAGAAACAGTTAGTGCTTTCCTGGTAAAGAAGGTACCATTAATAAAGTAAATATTAAATAATTTTAGAAATAGCAAAGGAATGCCAACTTGCCAACAGCTGAGACGCTGAACTGGCAAGAAAGTGCAGGCCCCAAGGCACAACAGAAGAGCTAGCCTGGCGGGCTGCTCGAAGCACAAACACTACACATCTCAACTCAAAAACCAGAGTGCACAACAGCTGTTTTAGAAAAGAATTTGCCCCATGAGGAAATGAAGAGGAAACTCCAAATTGAAGGCAGAACAGGGTGGTATTTAAGGCCACACTTTGTAGTCTATCAGAGAGAGGGAACACGTGCTTGTCCTGTCATGCACAGGGCAGAAAGCAGTGGGCAAATCCACCCTCCCTGAAAAAGGAGGACAGTGACCGACACAGGCCCTGTGAGTGGAGGGCCCCAGAAGGGAGATGAAGACTGACCACCACCACCAAAGCAGGTAACACGCCCTAGTTGACACCACCACAGTGCACAGCAGCCAGCCCAGTCTTCAGAAAAAGCGTACAGGGAACTAGAGCTGAGCTGCCTGGGCAACCACTAGTCAGTCATGAGGCAGGACTCTATGGGGACTTCCAAAAGCCATGCTTCCCCCAGGAGCAGGATACGCTCCCACCAACGACACGCACCAGCGCCACAGCCTGGCCGGAGAGGCTGCCCACAACTTGCAGAGCACAGGGCATTCCCCTGCCGGGGCCAAACCGTGAGCAGCGCTGAGACTGAGACCCTGTCTGGGGCCTAGCAGACAGGACCTTAGAAATGTTAAGTGTCAAGTGTACCTGAGAAATGCTCACACTACACACGCCCTCCCCAAAGTCACAGCGCACAGGGACGTTTCAACAGCTCACCCCAGTGCACTGCTCAGCTGCTGACCCTCCCACCCTCACACCAGTGCGCCACTCAGCTGCTGACCCTCCCACCCTCACACCAGTGTGCTGCTCAGCTGCTGACCCTCCCGCCCTCACACCAGTGCGCCGCTCAGCTGCTGACCCTCCCGCCCTCACACCAGTGCGCCGCTCAGCTGCTGACCCT